GGAATGAGTGGGTAGGTTGGGGTTGGTTTGAGATAGGGAAATAAAGTAGTGGGTCCTATAGGGTAAATACAGTAGAGCGTTCCGGGGTATATAAAGCGCCCTCTTTTGATGACTTCATGCTCATCCACCCCGCATCCGCGCATCCAAGACATCCCAAGCCGTCTCACTCGGTATATATACTACGTATTTGTCAATAATTCACTCTCTATAGCGCCCTCTATTGATCACAATTGACTTCATGCTCATTCACTCTTTATACCGCCCTCTATTTTTTTTTATACATTCATACCAAAGATCCTATAGCGCCACTTGCGGCGCTATACGGCGCTATAGGATCTTTGGTTCATACCGTACCATACCCGCGCGCGTACGCAAAGGAGAAGTCTCATATATACCAACGTTGCTTCGTTCTCAAAAGAGTGCCATTCTACTCAACGATCCCACTCCTCACATTGCATCCAACTACAAAAAAAAAAACCTTTTCCGGTGTGGCCCTGCATTCTATAGTCGCTCCGAGGAAAGGACTGGAAACTTGTTTAAAACGATGTCTATTTTAGCTGCGACAGAAAAAAAATGTCGAATCATAATGAAACAAGACGGTATAATACAATGCGCATGCGTCAGTTGGGGAAAGTCCAGCCCCATAAATGTGGCCAATTTACTGGACTACCTCCGTAAATAAAGGCCACACTTCCATCATGTACAAAAACATGTCAAACTTTGTCAAATTTTAATTTTCACATTTAGGCTTGGTTTTTAGTTTATAGACCAGTTCCAACCCCGAGATTTTTTTCAACCCTTTTCCCACTTTTAAATTTTCAACCCGGTTCTGACACGGGTAGCGAGCTCTAGCCGGATCGAAATCAACCCTGGGAGGGACCAGGGTTGAAAATCTTAACCCGGATCGAAATTGCATTTTTCGGCATGAACTGTGTCGAAAATGATAGTGTGAACCGCCCCGAGTTGAGTCACTCGCAGCTGATTCGTGTTGAGTTGAGGCCGACATTCTACCGAAAATCTGACACGACGTGCATATTTCCCTCCACCATCATCGCCATCACAAACACCGATCACGAAATAATCGCTCCCTTATTATGTACCCCAAAAAGTACATTTCTAACGTTAAATAGAACGAATCGTCTAACGAAATGACAGGAGCCATTTTGGAAATATTGCACAGCTGCGGCGGTGCCATAGTTGAAATCGGACACCCATGAAAATCGGATTCCTTTACTCTCTTATTCAGTGTTCTCCAACTTTGAAAATTAAAGGTTGGCGCTGGGGTCGGCGGGGACTCCTACGAGCCGGAGCGCGGAGCGTGGAGCGTGGAGCGCGAAGCCCTTACGGCGTGGGGTCCGGGGCCCGCTTAAGGGCCCCGGGAAAATTTTGGATTCTAGATGCTCTGTGGTGCAATCTGAGGCGATTCCAGGCCAGTTCCCCCGATTTTTTTAGCATTCAAAAATTTCCTTTTCAACCTAAAGCAGACTTCTCTCAGATCAAATGACACCTTTTTGTAATTTTGCAAAACAAAATGGGATACAAATTACGTTTTTTTTGACGCGATTTTATGGGTGGTGCCGGTGCCGTGCGATCGTCATCTTTATTTTCATGTTGCGTTTTGTCGTTGTCATCGTCATTTCCCCCTCAAATTTCCCTCTATTTATGACCTACCTGTATGTTCTTAAATGTCGCCAACAAGTTTGGTAAGTCAAATAAATTAAAAGTGGATTTTGTTCTCTTAGCGAACCGGGCCCATACACGATCGCCATTTATAACTTTTGACAATCGGCATGATCGGAACACCATGTGCACGCGTGTTTTGGCCTCGAGCTCGTTTGCCTCGTACAAGAACATCAATGCGTATTATATACCGCGCGTGCAAGCACTGAGAAAAAGAAAGTCGGTTGGCTGCACGTAAGATCTGCCGTACGTACTCCTGCTGGTGTGTGTGTGTGTACAAATACAGATATATATTTTTGCGGCGGGGTTGTCGCTACTTGAAGAATCGGCACACTCCGGAACTGGGGATTCAGTTGTCAGTGTGTGTACATCGCGCGTACCTAGTACTGTACGGTGCATGGGAATCGCTGGTGTTTGCACAGCCGGCCGTGCGTGTGATTGATTCAGCGAGATTTTAAGACAACCCCGATCGGGCTGGGATGACATCGAAATACATTGTTAATGTGTGGAAAAACAACTGAAATCAATTATTTTAGTTGTAAATGTACACTGTAGAGTCAAAAAAAATTAAACCTGGCGGCAGAATTTAAAGCTTGGCGGGGACTTCTTAAACATGGCGGGCGCCGCAGAAAGCATGGCGGGGCGCCAGGTTTGTTCTACATGTTGGAGAACACTGCTTATTGGTCAAGCCCTCTCACGTGATAGATCCTTCTCGTAACTATCATACTTAAGCATGCGCAATTCTACCAATGAGTCCGTATTTCACAGAGTAGTAAATTCACGCTGCACACCGGCCTGTCCGTTGCCTCGTGCGCGCAGCCGCGTGCGTCACAATGCATGATGTGATTGAGAAAATCATCACAGCGCCCAATGCCGAATGCGATCCGTGTTGAGAATTTGTAGCGTGAATACACAGGGGCCTTAGCCGGATTGAACGTTACACGGTTCACGTGGCGGCCGTTCCCGTAAAGAACAGTGTAAACGTTGCGTCTCTCCGATTCGTGTAGAAAACAACTCGGGCTGAACCGGGATGGATCTGGGTAGGTTTCAACACGGTTCGAAAAAGAGATAGTGTGAAAAGCATAGCTGCCAACTTTTCAAAATCCCAATTAGTAATCAACCCGCGCGGTCATTTTCAACTGCTATTATCAAAAGTGTATGTACCAGCTTTACCAACATCGAGTACAGGTACATGGTTTACATGTGCATACCATTCTTGTTGTGAAATATAATGTACTGTAGGCCAAAAGATAATAAAAAAAAAAAAAATAATAATAATAATAATAATTTTTTTTTAAATTCATTTTGTTTTACTGTCTGCATTTGTTTGTTGAAGTCAAATAAATAATAACAATAATAACGTGCACATTTTTTTTTTTTGAGATGCATGCTATCGATGTTGAGTTTCGAGTTCGCATCGTGTTTTTACACACAATGATTTAGGGCCACCGTATGCAATAGAAATATCCTGCCAACATACCTTGCAAACACATGCTGATTTATTTTTTATGGACGTTGTGATAAACTCATACTCTTATACAATTCCATGATTAAAATCTCGCACTGATGGGTCTCATCCCGGCAAACTCGGAGCGCGCCGTGGGGGGTACGTACTTGCACTTGTACGCATGCACATACTATCATTCCGCTACTACCGTACCCCCCCCTAGCAAAATTTAGCTAGAAATTTCACTTTCCATCCGGATCGTAAGTAAACTTCAGTACAACCATCTTAAATCGATGTCTACTTGTACCTTAGACCCGTGAATGTGGCTTGTAAACTACGCCACGCGCTTGTACATGTTCGAACCAAGCGAAATCGTCCTTCCGTGACAAAGACTGAACATTGCCTTACCGTGTGATAAGTATTCACATATCAAGCTTTCTTGAACATGTTGAAATCTGCTTTTACGCCAAATCTGGCATTCAAACGAAATTCGAGGTAAAATCTGGCAAGATCTCGACATCGAAGTAGAAGTCCTGCAACCTCCTCCTGATGCATGTGATTTACTACCTGATAAATGCTGCGGATAATTTGGTATCGCACTGACGCTCCGGGCATTCCTTTTGTCCGGATCGTAAGTGCGATTCCAAATTATTAGCTGCATTTATCACGTGGCCTCGTTATAGGCCAATCAGACGCCGCCTATCATATGCGCCACATGAAGCAGACGGGTAGCTCGGAGGGCTCCAATAATTTTGCACGCAAATGACCCTGGGTACTCGTCCAGGGTCATTTGTCAGGGTCACTTGTCAGGTTAAAATCTAATTTCTACACGTTCGTATGGGTCTTCATTGATGGCAAATTTCGTCGAAATGACACATCCTGAACACGCGGGAAGGCAAATTTAGATTTCTAGGTGAGTATTCAACATCCATATGGAATTATGTATGGCGGATCGATTTTGCTAGGTTCGAAAATACACAACAGCGTGGCGTTGTATACAATGCCACGTTCAGGTGTCTACTTGTACCTCAGTTGGCGTATCTAGTAATTTGGAGGCCGTTTTGAGGGTGAAATCTGATGTTTTTGTTGGGCAATGTTGGGTTTTTGGGTCAATGACAGAATTGTGTTGCTCGGCAAACATCATTATTAGGGTAATCCTTACTTTTAGGACCCCGTTCCTATATAGGAAGGGAAAGACTCACCAAAACAGTTGACTAAATGACACTCAAAATTGACATTCTGATATTTCTTGGCACATCTGAACAATTGGCAATGACACCTTCTTGAATATCAGCAGGATTAATTTTGTGGAAAGAGGGCAGGGCTTTGATTTATGAGGGAAATTCAGGGGTAAAAGACGACGATGACAACCAGAAAACAGACTCAAAAATGAGTGAACTTCGTATATGGAAATCTTTCCAGCATCGGGCTTTCATTATGTAGGGATGGCTCGATCATGTCGATGCTGATTGGCTGATAAAAAATAAACATCTTTTTTATTTTTTTTAGCAGCCAATCAGCATCGGGCTTTCATTATGTAGGGCTTTCACGCGTGTGAGAACTACAACATGCACGTCTGACTGCGAAAAAAGGTAGGAAAGTCACATTTTCTTTGAAAGTGCTTTCAAAATTACAACTAACATGAGTTTATATGAAGAACAAAAACTGCTTTAGCCTGCAAAAGTCACATTGGTACTCGACAGTCATCTGCAAAAGTCAGTTTTGAACAGAACTCGTAAAACTAAAAGTAAGGATTACCAGTATTAGCTTGGACCCCACTTTCGCCAGACCATGTCCGAATGTTAAAAAGGCGATAAGTTGGGTCCAAGTTACTCGGACTAGGGCCTAGACTTTCTGTTGATAATCAACTTACCAATCTAATGAAGCCGAATCCTTTAGTTTTATTCAGGAAAACCTCCGAAATTTCACCATACTTTGCGAATAGGCTTTTAAAATCTTCTTCAGTCGTGTCAGGGGTCAGATTTCCCACGAACAGCCGGCATCGCTGGGTGAACTTTTTTTCTGGTTTTCGGCTGGATGTTTCTACCATCACATCTCCGTCTTGTGTAGCTTGGTTGCTGTCGTCTCTTCGGTCGTGGTCCCGTTGATGATGACGTCTATCTCTGTCGCCTGAAGACATGCTTGAAGAACTCCGCTCAGATGATTTGTTTAGTATATCTTGTTTGGATTCCTGATGTGCCCGGGAATCCTTAGGAACATCTTTGACACTGGGCTTCATTGTGTTCGGCTCCTGGGCTGCATCGCGACTTGGATTTGGATTGGCTCTGACACTTGACGGACTTGAAGATGAAGTACCACCCTGGTCTTTCTTTATTAGCGGTCGCTGTGGAGTATTCTTCCTGTTATCATAATTACTCCTTTGACCTCCCCTGTACGGACGATCATTTCGACCACGATTCATTCTGTGAAAAGTCGTGGAAAATGTGTTAAATTGGTAGACAATTTGTTATCAAAATTCAACAAAGTCCACCCCCGCTTTGTTGGACAAACAAGATGGCGCGTGAGAGTCGAGGCGGCGCAGCTTCGCTGGTTCTCTCTCAAAGATCTCAGCCAGCGTCGTAAAGCTGCGATGGTATAAGCTAGCTATGTCAATCAAGCCTGCCGCGTACCACTGATATCCCACGCACGCGGCGGCGCGCTTGGCCGGCCGGCAGGCATGTAGCCTTTCACCAAGGCCATCGTGGCTTAACTTGCCCGCATTCAAAGCAGCGAAAACGCGAAGCGACTGGAGATGGAGACCGCACATGCGAGTGGCAAAGCCACGAGGGCCCAACCTCGACCCCAGGATGTCGAGCAGTACTTAATCTTTGCTCAAGTCGCTTCGGGTCTTCGCAACTCCGCCGCTCTAAGCCACGATGGCCTGGGCGAAAGGCATGCGGCTAGCCTCAGATCGTCATGCATAATCATAGAACTGTTATTGAGTGGCTCAGCAATTAATATCGCAAGGTAAAATCTGCACTTTTCCATCTCACGAGGCGAAGCCGAGTGAACTGGAAAAGTCCAGATTTTACCGAGCGATAATATTCCTCCCATTTCACAATTTAAAGCCATTCAATATTTTTTTTTTATAACACCTCACCCACAGATTCTGTGTCTTGATTGGCCGAGAGCGAGTCACATGTTACTTTCTAATTTTGCTATCTTTCTGTGCACGGCCAAAAGTACTATGCGCATAGCAACCAAAGTACTATACAATAGCAACCAAAGTACTATTTCCACGGCGCGGTATTCGTGTGCAAATGCATGCTGGTGTGTGCGTTGCGCGTTGTGCGTATCGCGTATTATTCCAAAGAGAGCGCGCCGCAGACTTGGGTTCAAACATTTCGTGAAGGGTTAGTGTTTAAGAGAAATTTAAGAGAGAAATACATTTTCCACCAATTTTGTATTGAAATTGAAGTTTATTTCAACTGTGTTCAGATTTAAATAATGTAAAATATTAAAATCAAGCAGAATCTGTGGGTGAAGTGTTATAAAACAAATATTCAATGCTTTATCTCGTGGCGAAGTAAAACTAGCCTCCCTCGGTGATCCATGGACCATTCTATTTTCCCTCGGCTTCGCCTCGGGAAAATAGAATGGTCCATGGATCACCTCGGGAGGCTGGTTTTACTACACCACTCGAAGTATTCAATATTTGTATAATATAACTGACATATAGATTCTTGTCATTTGGTATATTTGAACTTTTATTTCAATACAAAACTCTTCCAAACCACCCCTTCACGAAAATGTTTGAACCCAACGCTGCAGCGCCGGTGTAGCGTGAATATCCGACTCCATGAAATGTGGACTCATTGGTAGTACTGCGCACTCGTGAGTACGATACCATGCTATTTTTAGGATCGTTTCGGAAGAGTGACCTGTCACGTGCGAGGGATTAACCAATAATAGGAAAAACGGGTCAGATTTTCATAAGAGTCGGATTTTCATGTGACACCGGCTCTTTGGAACAATACGCGCTAATACGAGCAACGCTAAACGCGCACACCAGCATGCATTTGCACACAAATACCGCGTCATGGAACAAGCCTGATCCTAGACTTGACTCAAGTCGGAATTGCTTAAGTTGGTATCTTAAAAAAAAAAAAAGTAGCGAAAATCAATATATTTTCATTGGGTTAGCCAAAGCGAGAATTTACATTTGAATGGAATCAGCGGAGTGTGACATTAAGGTGTGGTTGAACAGGCGTGTTTAAGTCACTGACCGAATTCACCAGCAAGCAGTTCGCACGTCAAATTTGTGTGTGTTCTTTTTCGTGCCTAATTTTCGATAGAGGGTGTCCTCAAATGAACAATCTTCTTCTGCACAAGAAGCACATGTCTCCCTGAAACTTGTCAGAGATGCCATCGAAACTATGGTGTTCCATATGTGCCAACGGCGTCGCATTTTTTTTTTTTTTGGCGGCGCATTTTTTTTTTGGCGTCGTATTTTTTTTTGGCGTCGCATTTTTTGGGGGCGTCGTATTTTTTTTTTGGCGGCGCATTTTTTGGGGGGGGCGGCGCATTTTTTTTTTTTTTTTTGGAGTGAAAATAACTCCAAAAAAAAAAAAATCCAAAAGAGTGACATTTCCACCCTTTTTTGAGGAGCCATATTATAAGGGACAACTAATTTTAGATTTGTTTCTTATAATGGCTACTCGTAAAAGTGAATTTTATTATCCTTTTGCTTTTCACTCTTTTTGGAGTGGGTTTCGCCCTTTCGGAGTGGTTCTGGGATTCACTCTTTTGGAGAGTGACTTTTTCACTCTTTTCTTAAGCAGCATTGGGAGATTTCAAGGGGTATTTGGATACCTCGCTCGCCTCATTAAAACAAAGACAGCGAGCGTAAGCAACAGACGACGTCGGAACAAGTACAGCAGCTGAAGCGAGCTTCGGAGCTGAGCTTTCGCTTCAAATTTGGTTGCCGAGTGTGACAAACCACCACATTTAGTTAATCCATTGACTGTAGCTACCCAAAGTTCGGGAAAGAAAAGATTAATTTTAGACCTTCGTTATGTGAATCAGTTTCTTTGGAAGGATATTAGATTACTTTTGAAGACTGGAAAGTAGCAGAGTCATATTTCCAGAAAGGTGATTTTTTTTATATTCTTTTGACCTTAAGTCAGGCTATCATCATATTGAGATTTTTCCTGAGCATTGCAAGTTCCTTAGTTTTGCTTGGACCACAGAAGGGGTCACCAAGTACTATTCTTTTTTAGTTTTGCCATTTGGTTTATCCACAGCTCCATATATTTTTACAAAGTGCTTAAGACCACTAGTAAAACACTGGCGTACTCAAGGATACTTTGTAGTATTGTACCTCGATGATGGTTGGGGCAGAGCGTGTACCGAGGAAACTGCCAACTTGATTGCTTCAAGGGTAAAGTCTGACCTTTTGTCGGCGGGATTAGTGCCGAATGTTCAGAAGTCACAATGGGTATAGCTACGCAAAGTTTGACTTGGTTAGGTTTGGTATGGGATTCAAGAGACTTTTCAATTAGAGCCTCTGACAGAAGAATTGAAGATATTGTTAGCTGTATCAATGGCATTCAGATCAAGCTTCCCTATACTTCAGCTCGGAAGCTGGCCTCAATTACAGGTAAAATTATATCTCTTGGTCCAGTAGTGGGGAAGGTCTCTCAATTGAAAACAAGGTTTCTGTACATGGAAATTATGCGGAGAGTTCACTGGGACTATGAATTTAAACTTGCTAGCGACTGCAGAGTCATTTGGGAATTAGAAGTTCAAACCTTGAACAAACGGTATTTATATGAATACTCTCTCCCAAATGTTTTGTTTATACAGATGCGAGCCAAGTGGGCTGTGGTGCATGGACAGTCGGATGTGGAGGGGAGTTGGTCCTGCAAAGGAATTGGTCGAGTGCTGAAGAAACCAAAAGTTCCACGTGGAGGGAATTACAGGCGGTTTCCCTTGCATTGCAAGCATTTGCGAAGAGTTTAGAGGGTAAAGTAGTGAAGGTTTGTACTGATAACAAAAGCGTTGTCTCGGTAGTCAGCAAAGGCAGTATGGTAGAAGAGTTTCTTGTACTCAGTCTGGATATATTCCAATTCTGTAGAAAGCATGGTATTCAACTGGAGGTACAGTGGATATCCAGAGAGCTCAATCAAAGAGCTGATGAGATTAGTAGGGAGATAGATTGGGATGTCTGGGGTGTATCATACATATTCTTTCAATTCATTGATAAAATATGGGGACCTCATACAGTTTATCGTTTTGCAGATGAAACCAATGCAAAATTGCCTACATTCAATTCCAAATACTCATCCCCTGCACAAGCCAAGTAGATGCCTTTTCGTGCAATTGGCAAGGAGAAAATAATTGGTTAGTCCCCCCTATAAACTTGGTGGCGGACGTCCTAAGACACTTGAAGTTGTGCAAAGCAGAGGGCACTTTGGTTATTCCCTGCTGGCATTCAGCCCCTTTTTGGCCGTTGCTCTTTTCCCATCAAAGTTCGTTTCGAAGTTTGGTCAAGCATACCATGAATTTTTCTGACTCGTCAGATATATTCGTCCAAGGTCGGAATCACAAGTCTTTGTTTGGATCACCTTTATTCAAGTCCGAAGTCCTTTGTGTCAGACTGAAGTTTTCATTATGATGAGGAATAAGCCGCATGGCAAGGTAGCCACATGGCAAGAAAAGAATTGCCGAATGGCACGTATATAAAAGAATAAATATTAAATATAAATTACTTTATTAATTACCTATTTCTCTGCAGAAAATATAAAGAAGATGAGTACTCTTCAACGTTGGCAATGATACTTGACGCATCAAGAGCCCCCAGCACTACTAAAAAATAAAACGCTGCTTTTGCCACATGGCAACAATATGGTGTAAGGTGGAGAAGATCAATCCGTTACCAGCCAATGCCAATGACGTGTGTTGTTATTTTATACATCTCTTCAATATTGGGGCTCCATTCTCGAGAATCGAATCAGTTTTCTATGGCCTTAAATGGCGTCATGATTGTTTTGCGGACTGTAAAGAAAACCCATGTGACAGTAGATTTTTACATAATGTATTACAGGGATTAAAAAGAAGACTAGCTAAACCTGTTGAGAAGAAAGAACCCATTACACCAGAAATATTAAAGGCTGTCATAGACAAGTACGCAGTTCTGAACAGTCTGTTAGATATTCGATTGTGTACCATGTTGCTTATTTCATAGGCCTATGCAGGTTTCTTGCGTCACAGTGAACTTATCAACATCAGAAGATGTGATCTCCAGTTACATTCCTCATATGTTAATATCTTCATAGTTAAAAGTAAAACTGACATTTTTAGACAAGGAGCATGGGTGATCATTTCAGCAACAAATACATCTACGTGTCCAGTCAGAATGTTAAACAGATACCTAATCCTTGCAGATCTTGTAGATAAAGATTCAGATGAAAGTTTATTTTTTCGACCAGCTAATATATTCGAACAGAGAACAAGAACAAACTAAGATCAGGGCAACTATCATATTCAAGATGTCTTGATATATTTAAAAGCGCCTTGTCTTCGGTAGGAGTCAACCCCAAGCGTTTTGGACTGCATAGTCTTAGAGCTGGGGGAGCAACGGTTGCGGCTCGTATTGGTGTGCCG